ATGGAATCTAACGCCCATATTCACAAACGATGCTTGCTTAAGTGAAGCTACAAATCTAACGCACAGCGTTGAATAGAGCTCTGTGATTGATAGATCTTGTGATTTATGTCTTATGGTCTTTTACTATGGGGCTCAGCAGCAGACATAGAATCAATTTTCATTTTACAGAAAAGAGCTGTTCGGGCAATATACGGTCTTAAACCACGTGACTCGCTTAGAGAAGTTTTTAAAGAAATCAATATATTGACTGTGGCTTCGCAATACATATTTGATAACATTATGTATGTCCGTAAACATATACATTTATTTACTAAGAAAAGTGACGTCCACTCATTTAACACGAGACATAAGAATAAACTTGCTGTTCCATCATTTAGGTTGCATAAGATAGGTAATTCATTCTTGGGGAAATGTATTACCATATTTAACAAAATACCACACAACCTTGTCGAATTGCCAATAAACAAATTTAAGATACATATAAAAAATACCCTTACCACCCCCCCCCCCCCCTAATTTAGAATGACGTAATATATGGACGGCCCCCATGTAAAGTGCCCCATAAGGGCTACCTTTTTCTTTTTTTATTATTTTCTATTGACGTTCATAAGTGCCACTTGTGGTCTAAACTGAATAAATATTTTTGATTTTGATTTTTTTTGATTTTGATTGGTTCGTGTGTCACCCTGTGCGTCTACGCGCACTGTGAGACCTCATAGTAATGTTTGTGAATACGGGCGTAAGCATAAAGTAGTTTTTATCGATTAACAACATTAACCGTTATCGATTAGATACTTACGTTATACCATGAAGATTTGTACATCAACCGATGCCCAAATCATTCGGACCCAGAGTCTCTCGATTGCACAATCGCTCACCAGGACGCAATTACGATGGCGTCTCGAGTTTTTGCATCGAGTAAATCGAGATATGAACCCCGTTCCGTGTTTGATACAATCACCGATTCGTCGCGACCGGCCCTGTGATATATTATGCAGGAGGAAGTCTCTGGTACTGTTATAAGTACATAATATTATCACAGACAGCTGATTGGAACTGTTGTTGTGGAAATGTATGACCGCTAGATAGATTACGTACCTTCCCCTTTTATCTGAAACAACTGTCATTTCCCTGGGTTGTCTGGAAAAGTTCGCTTCATAGCAGTCATAATCATCATCATCATTTAGCCATAGGACGTCCACTGCTGAACATTGGCCTCCCTCAGTGATTTCCATGTTGATCGATTGGTAGCGGCCTGCATCCTGCGCCTTCCTGCTACCTTTATGATGTCATCGGTCGTCGATTATTAACGGCACTAGTGCCTAATTGTGCCTTTACATTAAAATTTTCAGACAACCCTAAGAGAGAAGAGCTGTTTCAGAATGTTAGGAATTTGTAATGTTGTTGTTGTTTATCTATTAAGTAAAAGGTTTAAGGAACTACGACAAACTGCGTGCCTATTTCCAAAAACAGTGTCTCTTTTATTTCATATACGATTTACATTTATTTTTTATTTAGTTTATTCAGAAACTCAACAGCTATATTACATTTTTAGAATTTTTTTTTTCTTACAATGGTGGCACTTAAGCTAAAAAAGAGTTCCATGACATGCAATAATGTTCGTACATTATAATATATTATATTTATTCATTTATACATTTTATTACTTTTTACATACATTATACTTACGCAGGGTGAAACCGAAAGGCACCGCCAAGCTTTAGGTAGGAGCGACTAATTTATGTATGTTTCAAGGCCTATGTACGAGTGTGTACCTCGATACAATGGAGTCTGTAGCCGTTGCTACTGCTATATTACAACTTGCACGGGCCATATACGGGGCTTAAAAACCCCAACATTTTCCTCTCGCGTAGTTTTCTGCTGGCCCCAGTTTTCAATTAGAAACCTTTAAAATTCAAGTTGAAGCGCTCGCGGTCCGAGCGTTCTGTCACAAGAACCACGGTCCGTCCCACGGTGACATTATGCCGTCAATAGTGATGGGAAATTACAAATTATTTTTGTAAAATTATTAGATATTTTTTCGGTGAATTTTTGAATAAGTAAATCTATCATAAAAAGGAAAACAGCTGCCTAGCGTGAAATTCAAACTTTTTGTAAGTACTAATGATAACATAATCATTGTGTTTTTATAAATAATTACTAGCTGACCCGGCGAACTTTGTTCCGCCTTAATGGCAATAAATAACGGGATAAAAAGTATCCTATGTCCTTCTCCTGGCTCTAAACTACCTCTGACAATTTTCAGCTAAATCGGTTCAGCCGTTCTTGAGTTATAAGCGAAGTAACTAACACGACTTTCTTTTATATATATAGATTAACATAATTTTCCCTTCGATCATAATATTTAAAAAAATAAAGTAAAATAAAACAACGAATTTTAAAACAAACTTGAAACCCCATTTTCCCCTTTAAATTCGACCCAGAATGATGTTCCACTTCCGTACGACTACATTTGAATTCTGCATTGAACAAATTACACACTCTTAGTTAAAATGGACCGAAGGGTAAATATTTCTCACTTTATAAACTTTCAGTCTCAAGAATTACAATAAGATTTACAGCTTGAGTAAATTCCATTTCAACAGAATTGGATTTATTCCTTGTTTTTTACCTTTTAACCTCCGAACATCCGCCAGATGTTAACCGGGTGAGATTGCGATGGTAACAATAAAGGTTAGTACAGATCGGATTAATTAATGGTAACGCGAGTGAAATAGTGTACATGTTTAAGTAATAGTATTCTCCATTGCCTTCCAACTTTACTAGATTAAAAAGAATAATTAGACCTCCAGAGCAGATTTTTTGGGTAATTTAAATAGTGCGTGTTTTCTTTAGTACCTACTCGTACCTAGTTACTTTGTACATTTAGCATTTTTTTATTATTTTCATGTATCAATCGCTGAGATTGAAAAAGATAAATTAAACGTTCTGTTTCTGCAGTCTAATGTGTAAGCACCTTAAGGCATTCACATTAAAGTACCAAATAAAGCTGTAACTGGATTCTTATAAATATTTTAATCGGCTTTTGTGAATGTCTTACACGATAAGGATAAATCTTCAGGCAGCTGCGGTGATGGAATTACATTAATGTATTTTTTGTTTACTAAAAAGCCTTTAATTAAGCATATACAGAATATTGTATTTGTTTATCTTTACGCGTGTGTATTACAGAAGTTACGTTAGTATTTTGACGTAACATTAATTTGTCTTATTATGTTGTATCTTAAAATTGATTATACATTATTTTCATTACAACGTAACTATAACCTACTGAATAGCAATATCATAGTTCTTTTTTTTTAGTTTGAAACGCAAATGAATATCGTTGCTTAATAACTTAATATGCAAAAAATATTTCACGAAAAAATTATAACAGCTTTGAAGTATCTGGTATTTTGGAGCTGTGATTTTTCTCTTTCCCATCCCTACTCCAAGGGTTAGAGGCCCATCAAGTACAGTTAGCGGAATTAGAGACGTCTCGTAACGGAGCACACTTTTTGCGATCGCGAACTATACTTTAAACCAGTGGTTTTCAACCTTTTTCATGTCACCACGACCTAGTATGAAAAAAATTTTGGCGACCCCCCGACTGCTTGCTTTTTTTTCATGCATTTTATAATGTTGCCAAGATGTTTGTAGGGACCGAATACTTCAATCCATACAACATTTGCATTATTGGATTTCGGATTAATCAGTCTTTATAAGATTTTTTTTACTTGTAGTTTTTACGACCTCTCGCGACCCCCCTATAGAGGCTTCGCGACCCCCCAGGGGGTCTCGACCCACAGGTTGATAAACACTGCTTTAAACGACTGCTTTATATTCCCAAGATGCATGCACTTTTATACTGGAAACTGAAATATTTCTCGAGAATAATTGTGAGCGTGTAGCGTCCCAGGAAGAGACTAATGTGATACTGTTTTAATGGAAACTGAATTTACCATTGCATTTTCTAATTAAAGATTAAGCTACCATGAATACTTGTAGTAGAGTGATCCAATAAAGTCGGTGTAGGTCGAATGTTCTAATATCGTACCGTCTGATATGATTAGCCTCTTTTTCTTTATTTGTAGGAACTCAAGGCTCAAGTCACGATACTTAAACCACGGTAATACTATCCAAAACCTTGTTTTGCGAAATCTGGATAATTGTAACTGCAAGAATTCATTAATTATTTATTAATATGGTACAGCTGCCGTTGGTTAATTAAGTCATATTTAATCGTTAATTACCGACAGCTCGTTACAGCGACATCGCATGCCGTTTCCGACCATTGTCCAGTCGGATGCAAAATATTCGCTTGCATTTCATTTTGGATATGAATACTTTGGATATTATTTAATGAATGCGAGATTCCAGGGCTACGATTGTCAGCGGATTTTATCGCTTTATCAATATTATAGGAAGCTTGAGCGAGCATCTTAAAGTTTCGTTGCCAACTCCCACCTTAACAGACCTACATCTAGTGAGGCCCTAGCATCTACACCGCCAGCTCGTCCAACAAGCTGTGCCTTTATGCTACGGGTACCTACATCAAGTGTACTCAACATCAGGACTAAGCAGTACATCTGTTAAGTCCCTATAACATCTACATCGCCTGATCATCCACCAAGCTGTGTCCGTCTCGGCAGCTCATCTGTAGGGTCCCTCGCATCTACATTATCAGCTCAACCTACCTCCACGTCCCACCAAGCTGTGAGTACCTACCTCCATGCTGTGGAAGAACCCTGAACAGCAGGCAGGACTCGGCATTCTTGTCTCAGCAATCCCCCACGTGCCTCTATTAAGTCCCTAGCATCCACATCACCAGCTCTCCCAATAAGCTATAGGTACTCACCTCCATGCTGCGGATGGACGCTGAACAGCAAGCAGGGCTCGTCGCCCGGCTCGCGGCAGGACTCGACCACGTCACAGCAGCTCGTCTTTAGGGTCCCTAGCATCTGCATCGCCAGCTCGCTCAACAAGCTGTAGGTACTCACCTCCATGCTGCGGGTGGACACTGAACAGCAAGCAGGGCTCGTCGCCCGGCTCGCGGCAGCACTCGACCACGTCGCGGCAGCTGGTCTGCGGGGTCACCGGCACGTGCGTCGGCGACCACCCCGCGCCGCTTTCGCACCACACTCGCACTATCATCTGGAAGTAGAGAACGTGTTAAACTATGATGGTATTTCGCACCACACTCGCACTATCATCTGGAAGTAGAGAACGTGTTAAACTATGATGGTATTTCTTGGTTCTAGATGCTATATAAAATAAAGTATCTGAACCAACGTCTAGATTTAGATAAAGTCAAGCAGAAGAGATGGTCAGATGCGGTGAGGAAAACGGAGGGCGGCAGTATGCACCGTGCGGTCTACAGTCTACGGAGGAACAGTAAACATAATATGTGGTCACGATCCTCATGAGTGAGGGACCGAGAAAGAAGAGATACAAACCAGTCAGTCAACCGAAAAGATGGAAGAAACATGTTGAAGATGTAGGTACTTATTTAAATACTAACTTAAGATTAAGAAAACAAAATATGCGCATTGGTGCGTGGGGTGCAGATAACGTGTGTTTAATAAATTACCTCAGTTTTCAAATCTCAAGAGTCCTAATAGACCTCCACTTGTAAGATCCAAGGATCCAAGGATCTTCCTATCAATCCTACTATGATACTCTGCTACTATGGCTTGAAAAAGAAAGTCACATCTTGTTTACTATTTAATAAATAATGTCCGATTTTCTGCTTAATTATCCACTTCATTTTAAATCTTGATAATAATTATTTCACGTTACAGAAAACGACAAGTCATAACATCTAACATCGTCAAAATGACGTGAAAGAGAGCAAAAGTGACACTCAAAGAGTCTTTAAACACTACAAAACCTTATTGTAGAAATAGCATCGAGATTTTTGTACAAAAGAGGAAATTATCGGTAGCCTGCTGCGACGACAGGAGAAACAGTAATTTCAACACTAATAATATGTATGTTATTGTGTTCTAAGAATCTAGTCTTGGTATAATTTGAAGAACAATAGAGCAACGTGAAAAATATTCAGTGAAAAAAAATGGATTACTTAGTAGAACTTGTAATCAACTAAAGGCTGTGCAAACTTAATAACTTTAAAATCTTTCTATTGAACTTACGACTGTTTTCTTAGAACAATTTTCCAGCCAATTTTCATATTGTGTTATTTGCATTTCATGTCTGGCTCTATAGAGAGAGACAATAGAATGGCTTAAATGATGCGCACGCGTCGCTATGCGTGATTGTTGCCAGGACTAATGGCTCTTATGGAAATACACAGTTATGGACCGTTATAGTACTAGGATTACGTTTGTGACTTTTATTTGGAATATTTAAACATTTCTTAGTAAAGTTTTAGTACATTTTTGTTGCCATAAAAAGCCTCTTTCAAAGCCCTGTCATGTGTCACGTGTAGTATAGTTAGTTACCATATTATTATCTAAAATGTCAAACCTATTATGAACAAACAATGAAAAAATATCCAAGAGAAGTCTAAAATGTTAAAGCATTCAGAAAAATTGCAGTAATTTAAAGGTGGACCGACGACCTGATAAAGGTAGCAGGAAGGCGCTGGATGCAGGCCGCTACCAACCGTGCGATGTGGAAGTCATTGGGAAAGGCCTACGGCTGTGGCTGAAATGATGATGATGATGAGAATAATGACGCATTTTGAATAAAGGCAAACTGTCCAGAGTAATAAAGTGTTCCAAAGTAATAAATTTAATTCTGTCAACATAAACACGCTTAGAAAAGCTAAATTCTAACGAACAAACTTACAGTGCACCTAATGGCCGTTCGCGCTCAAAGCGAGGTCCTAACAGGTCCTAATGCCATCAAAAGTGCGAGCAATTTGCGCTAAGTGGGGGGTAGAGAGGGGGGGAGGTGCCGACAGTGGCGCCACCTGCGCGTAACTACAAATCGCATTATCTGAACTTGCAGTTAGGAATTGGTGCACAAACATATGAACTATGTGGAACTTCTGGGCTGCCTTGTTGAAAAATACTGTTAGACTTTATATGAGTTGGTACACTCTAGTGTTGAACTCTCCTCTACCTGAATGTCTTAGATTAGATGAGATATACACAAATTGAAAAATCAATCCTCTGAATTGCTCTTTGATTAGGACTTAGGTATTAGCAGAATTTCAGTAGCGTGAAGGCCCGAAAAGAATATAATGTGTTACGGAAGGCACTTATGACAATCTTTCGGAATTAGCCTATGCTCATTCTGACATTTGGGTTAATATAAACCCAATTTTAATTGCCTCGACGTCTTGGTCCTTTGCCATTCTAAAAAAAAATATACAGTTTCAATAATCTAATATAACTAGAGCAAAATTGATTGATTCTTACTCCAAGATTGTTCACAGCGAACATAATCAAAACAAGCGCCAGTCCAACCGTGACGTCATGTCCCGCTAATTAGGTATTTGTGGTATTAGCGTCGGTAATTGACAAGGACGTGTCACGTGACCGATCGCCGATGGCTATCGCTTTAGCGGCAGATCTGATAACTGGGTTGATTTGCATTATTTTGGGGTATAATTGAGTGAGAACACTGTATGGACAACTGAAAACGGTTATGGGGATTGAGGGAATAACTACAGATTATAAAGAGAACGAATGATATGAAAAATGAATTTTTTGATAAAGATTTTGGCAATTAATCTGATGGCACTATTTCGCTGATGGGTGCCATGGCCGCGTTATGGACATTTGCCGCATTTGATACAAAGAAGAACTGTTTTATTAACCTTTATTCAAAAGTTATAGAATGGAGCCAACGGAAGCATTTAATTATCCACATACCTCTAAGAGGATCTGAATTTTAGATTAACATAAAAACTTATAATATTTCATAACACAAGAAATATCGGCGTAACGAAGCACTCCAACAAATAATTTCGTAATTATTTCCTCAACAACTCAGCTTATACAGTTAAATAGAGAGGGAAAAAACAAAACCTCCTCTGAAAGGGCAACGGAAGTCGCCGCAGTCACGTGATCATTGTTTTTATTATACCCTCCAAAACACCTCTGTGGTTTCTTTCCCTAACCTTTGTTGTACTAATAATATACGAAGGGCTGTTTTCAGGCTTGTTAACTACGTATTTAGCAATCCTTTGTTTCGAAATGAATGGTGGCTACACCTTTCAAAATAATTAAGAGGGTCGCTATTATTATTTTTTATGAAAAGCTGAAAAAGCTCTGTGGAAAATTGTAAATATATTTTTATTAAAATTAAAAAGTATGAAATCTCAAAAATCCGAGAACGAAGGCAAAACATTTTCTGCGAATCTTAGAAATTACTTTTCATTGGAAATTAAACCGTTATTGTGATATGTTTTATACAATTTCTTAGAATTTAGATGTTGGTTTGTATCAGTCGCCTCCTTTGTACAACTTATAAGGAAACTTATCTATCCACTCTAATGGAACTTCCAAGTTACATAAATGTATGTCAAAACCCTTTTGTGTATTAGTAATTTCTACTTTCACAACAGTAACTGCGGTTACAAAATATCTAAGTTCCAATGCCCAAAGAGTTGGAGCGACAAATGACCAACACTTGCATTTGTTTGCCATACTCGGCGAGCTGCGCCGGCGCACAATGGGTTGCTAAATGCTACAGCTACTAGAAGCACGAAGCCAGTATTTAGTGCTTTAGGTTACCCTGGGCTGTGACCATTAGGTTTAGGCAATCAAAACCACACCTTAGATTTGGTGATTATCAAAAATAAATTTATTTAGAAAGCTTTTTATTTGTTTATACCAATTTTTTTTATCCACAACGAGGAAGCACTTGGCCTGTATCTCACCTGATGATTTCTTACTATTTTAAACGCCAAGGTTTGTTACGATGTAAGGAGGGATGTTTGTTGCTCGTTCACGCAAAAACATCAAAAGCTTGCGTGAAATTAAAGACACACAGCGCCATCTCTTATTCGAATCTGCAAACAATATTTTACAACTTTTTAGTAGTGAATAATTTACATTATATTGCCTCTCATGTACTAGTAAAGCAATAGTATTGCCGTTTCGCATCCTTACATAAATGATAATAATCGTTGATTTACATTCGAGTTGCGCGCATCGCATTATGCGGTTTTCCATACGTTTGCTATCTAATCACTGGAGTCATGTGGTAACTGAGCTGTAACTCATCCAGGAATGGACTTGTTGCCATAACTCGAGCTGACGGACGGCTGCTATCAGGATGGAGCCAGGGTTAGCAGACACCAGCCTCTTGTCATAGGTAAATAAATCAAAGCTATGTACAAAATAGCGCTGATCCCGAATATGTAGAGACAACGGCGCGTCGAGCTATCATTTTGGGATCTAATTTAGTTGATGGATGATTTTGCAGCAAAAATTTATACTCTAATGTGCATTCGTTTTAAACTTTTTATAAGAGCACACTAATACAAATAAATAGTAAAATATAGACAAAAAACCCATGAGTAGTCTTATTTTAAAAGGATGCCAATGATTTCAATTTCACCCTGTATGTTTTTGTAGCAAAAGTGACCTTCTTACAACTAGCTAAACAATATTAAGCTGGTGTTGCTGTACTTCTCACATAAGCTGTCCTAAAAAAAGCCTTACTTCAGTATAAAGAAAATGAAACCAAGATGCTGACAACCCTATGCCCATCGGATACGATGACATTGATGCCCTTTTTTACATAACCCTGCAAGGTGGTTCGGAGGAAAGCTGGGTTGACAAGGAAGTCAAACCTAGGATACCTATCTATCAAGTATTTATGAAGCAAACATTGTTAGAAATTTTGTATGAAATACGCATATGAAAATATTTCAAATACAAATACAAAATTATTTATTGTGAATCATAGGTAGGTAGGTTTCTTTATGTGAGTTGTATGTAAGAAATAAGTAGAGTCTCAATGATTCTGAGAACATTATTTAAGACAACAATAGAGGGACAATTTCGTTTATTATTATATGGAAGTATATCCCTATGCCTAAACTACTTGTAGATGTTAATGGAAATTCTGGCACGGTATTAAAATAGATGAAACCTTGCTCTCTACTCTAAGTAACTAAACAGGGATTCTCAAACGTGCTGAAGCTGAATCATGTTAAATATTATTCTTACAATAATTTGAAAGAACGCGAACTAAGAACGCATGTGCGCAAATAATCAGACCACTTTAACATTTTTAGGGTTCCGTAGTCCTGACAAGGAACCCTTATAGTTTCGTCATGTCCGTCTGCCCGTCTGCCCGTCTGTCCGTCTGTCCGTCCGACGTTTTGCTTGGAAACTGTTGGTACTAGAGAGCTGTAATTTTGTGGAGATATGTATATTAATCACGCCGACAAAATGGTAGAATAAAATTTTAAAAAAAAAAGTTTTTTAGCTTAGCTTCCCTACATGTAAAATGGGGATGATTTTTTTTTTCATCTTCTTTAGATGCAGTAATTACTTGCTTCTGAAATATATTGTGTTAACGACTGACAACTACGGAACCCTACACTGTGCGTGGCACGACACGCACTTGGCCAATTTTTCAAATTACTTTTTTTTTTATCCACAACCAGGAAGCTCTTGGCCTATATCTCACCTGATGGTAAGTGACGATCAGGCCGAAGGTGGAAGCAAGCTTCACCCGGAATCCTCAACCACGGAGGAACTGGCTATCTTACCTCTAACTGCCTCTGTTTGCACGAGTGCCCTATCACGTAACGGTCAAAGTTTACTCCCCACGCAATAAATTCGCACCTGCGCGTACGCAAGCAGATGCAAGGGTTTAATAAGGGCTCCGTTTTATTATTATGGTTTAACAATCACAATTTTAACAGTGCACTTCAGGTAATTGTGGCGAATTCCTTGAATATAAAATCCTGCACTGATACACACAATATTAATGGCTTTCAACTTCAATCAATCAATTCAATTTCAACTCAAATCAATTCAATCAACTACATAGATTATACAGTGAAGGTGCAGTTCATTTTGGGGTATTGTTGAAAATCGCTACCATTATTACTCGCAAATACTCACCAGCTAAAAACTTTAAGATATTTTTCACTTTTCCTTTAGAGCTTTCTTTCACTTTTTCTTTTAGCAACGGAGAAGTCGAATCTTAACTTCGAACTCCTCATATTATGTTCTTCTGATTAATTTCGTTGCGGATCCAATGACAGTTTAACTTTCCCCTGGGACAAACTTGACCTTCATTGGTTGGGTTTTTATTGGCGGTCAAGCTGTAGATCCTGGCTACACAGGAGTTGCAGTGGTGGGAAAGAGAGATTGGAATAGTCCCGTTTTCCTTTAGAGCTTGTATAACCAAAAAATGACACATAAATATTCACCACTTACCGGAATCATTGTGGGCTGACATGTGTGGTCGTTCGTCTATATCGTATCGTTCCTGAAACAAAAATACACTTTTGTCAACAATGTTTTTGATTTTCTGGGTTAAAGTACCTATATAGGAAAATAATTTACAGGGTGTCCCAGAATGGGTGAATCAAACTGCTAGGGGAGGTAGCTCTACTAATGTACTAACCCAAAAAAATATAAAAAAAATTTTTTGAGTTCGGATTTTTTTTTTTTTTCATATTTTTTTAGGGATAGTACATTAGTAGAGCTACCTCCCCTAGCAGTTTGATTCACCCATTCTGAAACATCCTGTATACCTACTCTTTATTCTATACACCGCACAATAAAATAAAAATTAAACAGAACAATTTATGCAGTATTTTATTATTTTTCCTAGGTAGCGATTTCGTCCGCACCACACAGGAAAAGAAAGGGAAAATTGACTTCATGTGACTACTAGAGAGGTACTAAATCCCGGTCTGTGAGCACGTAGAATGTTGTCCAATGACCCCAAGCTACCCATCCTTATCGCTCGCGCGTAATTATATTGCTGTCGCGATCTCACACTCACTGCGGGCGCCCGTCACACAGTCGCGACAGCAATATAATTACCTACACACAGCCTGCCCGCGCTTTTAAAATTCGCGGTTTTCAAAGAGCCACGGGCCGCATTGTTCCACATTACCCTTATTATTCCCTAATCCCTCCGCCGTTATTTATTCAACGTCTAAACCACACAGCTTTGTTATTCGCGAGACTTTTCATGAAAAACGAATTAAAACGCTAATTAAATTGGTATTGTAGTCGTGGTGTTGAATCATTATTAACAGAAAATAAATACCTAATGTAAAAAAATATTATGACCACGAAACGATAAATTGATTGTCGCCCGTATTCACTTTCGATGCTTGCCTGTGAAGCAGCAAATTGAACGCACAGCGTTGAATAGAGCTCTGTGATTGGTTCATGTGTCACCCTGTGCGTCCACGCGCACTGTGAGATCTCATAGTATAGTAATGTTTGTGAATACGGGCGTGTGTCTCTATACAGTATGATTGTTTTTACCACCTGAAAATTTTAACAGGTTGTTATAAAAATGAACCAGTTTATGGTGATTGCTTAATAAGGCTGCAGTCATACGACGCGTTGAATTCTGAAAGAAAAAATACTACACGAATTTTGAAGGTGATCCAATTTAGCTGCCCGGTCCAATATATTAAGAATACCTTTTATTATTACATTTATTTATTTTATTTATGACTGCATACGAGCCTAAGTTCGGCGATGAGACGTATTTTGGAGCTGCATTATTTGAAACCTTAACCTTCTCGCCGGATAATACCCGGACCGACATTGTTGCGCCGTAATGGGATTAAAATTTAACCCGTTCATTACTCGTTAAACCCTAAAACGGGCAGACCTCCAGTAATTTCATTGCATGGCGAAAACTGCCGATTATGTAAAATACATTCGCCATGCGCTTGGAAATTGTAATGCAGGATGTTGGTTTCAATTTATGTGTAGTTACAGTAGACAGTATAATATCAGAGAGTAAAATTGTTCCCTCTATTTCTGCTGTCCCCCACAAGCCCCTTCCTATGGGCGGGCACTGGGAAGAAAAGAATAGCTTTGTCCTTAAGGAGAATTCAAAAAAATTGTTATGAAAATTCAAATTCATGTATTTTATTCAGTACATAGGCCCTTTCCAGGGCACTTATACACGTCCCAAATATACATAGCTTGCCCTACCACCACTTCGGGACAACATATGGGCTGGTGCTGAGAAGAAGTGGCGGAAAAAACTCAGTCAGCTTTGTCAGCCTCTTTTTCAATAAAATAATAAAATAATAGCCTGTAACAATAGTAAATGTGTGTGTATGTAAATAAATAAATAAATAAATAAAATACAGTAATTTATAGTTTAAATGACACGCAATAAGTGCGAGCTAGGCAGGTAAAATCCACGTACTCTTGTCATCTAAATAATCGACATGCAAAAGTGCTCATTTAAAAGCCTTCTAACAGAAAATTGATAAAAAAAATTTTGCAGCCCACATCTTAATAAACTTGCTATTAATCCAGGATGTCTCAAGCCATGTTTTCATTATCTTCAAGGCTTTCCTGTTTATTACGGAAGAGCTTCCAATTCGGCGGCGTCCGACAAGACAACCCCGATCGACGGTGTTAATATTCATAGGGCGCGCACTCTTACGCGTGGGACTGACGTGTTATTATCATCTAAGGGACTGACTACATGGGGACAGTTGATGACGTCATACCGATGACAACATTTTTATAACATCCAGAGTCCAGACAGACACAGAGAAAAATATTTATAGGGCGCGCACTCTTACGCGTGGGACTGACGTGCTATTATCATCTAAGGGGCGGGCTACATGGGGACAGTTGATGACGTCACACCAATTATAACATTTTATGACGACCAGACAGAGAAAGCCAAATATTCGGCTCATAGGGCGATCACTGTTACGCGTGGGACTGACGTGCTATTATCATCTAAGGGACTGGCTACATGGGGACAGTTGATGACGTCACACCAATGATAACATTTTTATAACATCCAGAGCCCAGACAGACACAGAGAAAAATATTCATAGGGCGCGCACTCTTACGCGTGGGACTGACGTGCTATTATCATCTAAGGGGCGGGTTACATGGGGACAGTTCATGACGTCGTACCAATGATAAGATTTTTATGACGACTAGACAGAGAGAGAAAGCCAAATGTTCAGCTTATAGGGCACGCACTCTTGCGTGTGGGACTGACGTGCTACTAAGGAACGGGCTACACATGGGGACAGTTGATGGCGTCATACCAATGATAACATTTTTATGACGACCAGACAGAGAGAGAAAGCCAAATGTTTGGCTTATAGGGCGCGCACTCTTACGCGTGGGACTGACGTGCTATTATCATCTAAGGGACTGGCTACATGGTGACAGTTGATGACGTCATCCGAATGATAAGATTTTTATCACGACCAGACAGACAGAGAAAGCCGTAAGGTTCGGCTTATAGGGCACGCACTCTTACGCGTGGGACTGACGTGCTAAAGGATCATTACAAGCTTTTATTTTATCATCTAAACTTTAGATGATTTTATCAATTGTCCCCAATTGATGGCATCAGTCAAATAGATAAATTGTACGTCTTGGTATTATAACACAGGAGCAACTTCGGAAACAAAAACAAAACTCATACGAATAACTCTTAGGGGTTGGTGTTTCACGTACCAAACGAGAGCGTTGCTTGACAAGCGAGTTAAGGACGTTTATGTGTTTAAAGTATTTGGATTATTATGCAGATATACAGAAAAAGTGACTTATCCTGCAATCCGTTTATCACATTAAACACCAATTAAGTAGTTTATGCGAAATTCATTTCCTTACGCAAATATGTTATGAAAAGAAAAACCGTTGAATGTAAAAGCTGTTTTTGAGATATACGTGTACATAGAGGCACATTATTGTGTAATGATTTTAATGTAAAATCAAGACTTGAATCTTGAATTAAAAGCAATTACCTACAGGAAAACCTTGGAATTGAATTTGAATAAGTTTTGAACTTCATTAAAAAGCCTGAAAACCTCCATGTAAGCCTACCATAACACACTATAAATACATAAAAGCCAACCACTCGTTTAAGCTGTGTTCTACGACCCTCTACACCAGCGTATGTATGGCGAATGTTAATGCATTATTAATGTTCCGGTTTGAATACCGGCCAGATTGAAACCTCACTATGCGTATAGGATTTCAATTTGCCTCATCAGCAATTGGATGGAGCCGATCATCGGGCTTTTGATTATAAGTTAATAATTCAAAGCAGTGTTTCTATTATTTTCAGGTTAATTGGTTCAATCAAAAGCCCTCTAAAACATTTACAGTAATGAGTCCATTATAATGGATAGTTAGTAGAGATTTATCTTGAGTTTATTTATTTATTTAGCCACCAACCAAACCGAACAGAAAAATCTGCCCCCACTGGGAATCGAACCCGGGACCTCTGCGTCTGAAGCAGGTGGTCTTACCACTAGACCACAGAGGCGGTCTTCCAAAATGCATAAGTTTATATCAAAATTTACCCCGGGACCGCGACTGCATAGCAACGCATTTCGCTGCCTATACTGTACGTACACTAATACCCGTATTCACACACATTACTATGAGGTCTCACAGCGCGCGTGGACGCACAGGGTGACACACGAACCAATCACAGAGCCATTCAACGCTGTGCGTTCGATTTGCTACTTCACTTAAGCGAACACCGTTTGTGAATACGGGCGTATATACTAAACTATTACTTAGCGTTTACACAACTAATTACAGCGAAATTAGTCCAGAAACAAACGCTCGTTAGCCCTGTGGAGTGGTGGATGGCGGCAAATATCCGGTTCCCACGGTTCGCGGTTCGCATTGTTTGAACACGGCTGAAATATGCGGTGTTTGTCCAAGAATGTGATTTAGTTTAGTAACATATGTTATTCCGAGTGGTTTTCCCGCGGTTGTATTTTATTTTGTGACAAAATTTACTGTAGCAGACTTTTCGAAAACAAATAATCCTAAGTACCGATCTGACGAAGGTGACGGGAGGTGCCTGGATGCGGGCAGCGCAGGGCCTGTCCTTGTTGAAAACTTTGGGGAAGTTTTTTTCGAGCAGTGGACGTCTTTCGGCTAAAACGAACGAACAAATGAAGTTACCTACTCTTTTTTAAAAGAATAAGGACTCAAGAATAAAAGCAGTGAGAATGACATTTAGGATATTGTTTCTACGCACACAAAATCACCATTTCAGCTACTCACATTCCACTGCTGAATGTAATCCTACCAAGGAGCGCCCAAAGCACGGTCTCGCCTTTTTTCATCCAGCTACTTACAATTATCAAAATCCGTGAAAATGAAATTTTGGTTATTTTTATATGTCGCTCATTCATTTCTGTCATAATAAAAACAATTTTATGAAACTTGTATGGTTATAATAATAGTGCGGGACCAATAACCGGTGAAAACCCGGGATCCATTGTGTAA